ACCGCGCAGCGGCGACCACCGCCGTGGGCGATGCAGAGGCCGTGCGAGCGCGACCGCTTTTCACAGCCGTCCATCTTGCAGAGGCGGCGGCTCTTGGACGACGGGTGCGAGTCGTGCAAGTCGTTGAGGAGGTCGAGCGGCGCCTGCTGGTGCATGAACTCGGACGGCGGCTTGAGCTCGATCTCCGAGAGGTCGCACTCTTCTTCGGACGTCATGTCGAGGAGCGTATCGAGCGGCGACGAGTCGAGGAGGTTGAGCGTCATGACGCCGTCGTCCGTGCCGTCGAGCGAGTTGGCGCGGAGCTTCTCGGGCATCTCGTCGGCCTTGTCCATCAAGAACGAGTACAGAATCGACATTTCGCTGTTGTCAAAGTCCTCTTCGACGTTAAAGTCGACGTCGTCCTTGTCGTCGTCGAGAATCGCGCAGTCGAGGAGGTCGTCGAAGCTGCCGACGTCCACATCTTCCATCGACGCAGGCGCGAGCGACTCCATGAGCGGCTCGGGCTTGGTCGAGAGCTCGTACTTGGGCGCATGGTTGTTCATCATCATAAAGGGTGGCACCATCTCATGGTGGTGCATCATGGGCTTGGCCATTGACGTCTGGTACATGTTGCCTTGGTTGGCGTACCCCTGCTGGAGGCGGCTAAAGCTGCCAACGAGGGGCACCGAGGCTTCCATCGGGCGACACATCGCGATCGGGTGGCTTGGTGTTAAGGAGCGGTCACTGCCGAGCTCAAAATAGACAAATGCTGGAAATCGGCGCCGACCAAGTCCAATCCAGTGTATACTGTGCCCAAGACAGAGATTTCGAGCCAGAATCTGCGAAACTTTAAATGACTTTGGCGCGTTCAATCCTCCCATGTACTTGGGGTTTGTATGCAATTTCGCCATCTTGAAAAAAATACAGAGCGAGGGCAGCTGGCGTGGCACCTCGTCGCCGCGATTTAAATTATTTTCACCCCCGCTTACTCAAGCCGTGTGTTTATAGCGTAATTTATTGGAATGTTTTATGCGAGCGGCAGGTGCAGAGAAATGCAAAACGAGCACAAAGATGCGTCAACGCACTCGTCACTGGTGGCGACGTGGGTGCTGCGGTCGTCGAGAGGCCATCGCCTTTAGAGAGGAAGAGACACGGCGAAGCGAGGTGCAATATGCAGCGGCGAGCAGGAATCGAAGTCACGAAGGAGCGATCGCGCCGCCATCGGTCCAGCGCCGGCAACGTGCGCCCGACGACGACCGAGACAGGTACCGTCTGACACCCTGTAATCGTGCAGGTGACGTTTCCACCAATCAGAGCTTGGGTGCAAGGGGCCTCGCATGTGATTGGTCACATGAGATTTGTAGCAAGAAACTGGGTTTCCGTCATCGGCGCGACGGGCGTGGGCGCATTTTTACGTGACGCGGGCGCGTCATGAAACCTCCACCAATCAGATGACGCTCTCGTCACGCGAAGGTTCCTCGAAAGCGACCGCGACAGCAGGACAGCCGTCCATTTGTCCATTTGTGTGGCCTTCAAGAAGACGAGCCGTGGACGGTGGACGTCGGACACACTTGAAGTTGTAGTGTATACAGGTCCAACGAAGCGGTTGTGGAGGTTGCTACGGATTGATGGTGGGGAAAGGGTGCTCGTAGGGTCACGGGTCGAGGGGACCAGTCGTATGTGATGTTCGATATGCGATATTGACCTGGCATTTCGCACGACCCCAACGGCAACCAATGGTCAATTGGATGCGCAAAGAACCTTGTGGAAGATACCGTCTCGCCGGATTCGCACCATTCTCACTCGGTTGCAATCGCTTTGCTCTCAACAAAAGAAGGTTCTCAACCGCGACGCGACGACCCAAAATCAACCTGGCGTCGGCGACTGTAATCGCGCGGTCGAAGGCTACCAACGCATCACGCGAGTGGTGTCGCCGCATCCCGTGATGGGTCGGTGTCGTGGAAAGGAGCGGCGAGTAACGTGGTCGGATGCTTGGTACGAGCGTGGTCCGAGGCAGAAACAGGTTGACACGACGTCGAGTACTGGCAGCACGGCGCTTCAAGGCCGCCTGTCGTCGCATTCAATTACAGGTACAAATGCACTTGATGATGCATGGACGAGGCCATTGGCACCTCTTACGAGGCCCTTCTGAATTGCACCGTGGTCCAATGTGGCCAAAATCAGCTCTCAAATCTGGTTACTATTGGGTACATTTCACTTTGTAGACCAGACCGCAACGATGTCGTGATGCTGGGATTCGTGTGCACAAGGTCTCTATCCCATCGTGTGTGCCCGTGTAGTAGCTTTCGGCGATCGCGGAGTAAAGGCGCGGGCTCGCATTCCATACTAGCTGCATCTCATAATGTCTCTTGCGTTCGATTGCTGCAAAAGTACCCTGGGACGACGGCTTGGTAGTAAAGGCAAGGGCGACGCGCTGTCGTTCGGTCGCTCACTTGTCATCCTACCGGTATGTATTGCAATTCCAATACTACCGTGCACTAGTTCAATACGAGTACGTACATGTAGTGGTCGAGTAGACCAGGTCGCGTCGCGTAGATTCCCATATCTTGGGTGGTTTCCAAGCCACTCCAGTTGCCGCCACACGTCCACGGTGGGTGCAAGACCAAGCAATCTCACCGGGCCGACCCACCATGGCCGCCAATTTTTTAGCCGCGAGTCGAATGCATGACGAGCGTATGCATCAGGGCTTGCCCCAAAGGGTTCTTCAACAGAGCTTGCCATCGTTTGTGTGGAGAGAGCGACGAGGCGAATACGTAGTGCCGTACATGCGGGTGGCTCAAAGTGAAGTCGCGTTGAAGCAAACATCGTTGAAGATGTCTTCAAGATAGTGCGCGTTTCCAAGACCAACGTATAGTACTCGTCGGCGCGAGGAGAACATTGGATGGATGGGTTGGTGCTGGAGTCGATGGACTTGGCGTCGAATAGGGCTAGGGCATGGAGTAGCCGCGGAGCATGTTTTTACATCCGTCCACGGCGCGCGGCAACCCATGCATGTGGGCGTCGGGAAGCCAAGAAGAGGTGGCGATCCGTACCCAAGCTAAAAACAATTTCCAGCGAGACCTCCTCCGTCGAAGGACTCGTGCGTCTATCGTAGTGTCAAACGGCATCCCCCATCGGACACTTGGGAAGCCGCAGGGTTGACGAATGCCGACTGTCGAGATGGATCGCTACATACACAGCTCACGCCAAACGACCAAGTGGTAGCCCCAACTCCCACGTATTCAGGCGTAGCGCTATAGTAAGATTACGTAGTCTTGGAGCTCGTTCTGCCTTATTTCGTTCCAAGGCGAGCACGGTTGGTCGATAAATCTCTGCCAGTTCTTTATTGTCAACGCAGCCACCGACACAAGCAACCAACCTCCAAGACATACCATTATGGCTCTTGACAAAATGGCCAGTATGCTTCCAGTATGACCCCTAAGGCGTCCAGAGTGTTCTGCTGGGTCGGCAATGAGTCCTCTATCTTCATGTACTGTGGTGCCTTCCGGGCAACGCAAACACCGCAGCGAGGCGGGAGCCATCTTCCAGGACGCAGGCAGTTGCATTCGTTACGTCTGAGAAGGCAGATTCTGAAGTGATTAGCATTGAGCAAACATGACTTACCACTAGTAATATAATACCCAGACACAACAATCAAGAATGGATTGACAGAGGAAAGCTGGATCGCGCTGGGACCTATGCAGCGCGCTTGCAGACAAAATGTTGAGCGCACTGTCCATAGCGGTCAAACCAGGCATGGGTAGAACGACGGGTATCGTAGTATTCCCTCGTAGATAGCCGAGCAGATTGGGGGCATCGAATGTAGAATAGATGCCCTACCATCGGTGGACGAGGTGGGTTAGCTACGGGCTGCCGAATGCGGAATGGCTTGTGTTGCTGCTTGACCCTCTGTCCTTCTACTTTACTGTTGCTCGTGCCTGCTCGGCCCGTGTTACCGTGATTCGATTGATATTCTAATCCAATGCACAATACCGATTACCCAACGATCGGGATTACTGCGTCGGAGTTCGTCGCGGACTTCCGGCTCCCACATCGCCAGCAAGGACTACCCTACGGATCAACCTACTGACATGGACCACCAGCGCTAGACCACTCGCCGATATGCCGGCGCGAAGCTCGCGGCCAACAACCTCGACGCGCAGCCGTCACGATCGCCAACTCACTCATGCTTACGGCGACGCAAGGGTGCGATCCTCAACAAGCCCCGCACATCGTCGTCGATACAGGAGTCAAGCATGCTACAAAGGTATGTGCTTGCATGGAAACGAGTAAATGGACATGCAATGGACGATGCTTCGCTCTACACGAGTACTAAGCTACTACGCTACTACGTTCCTAAACCAACGCAAGCGAGCAAGAGCCGCCCGGTGAGGATGGCAGAGTCTGTGGGCCGAATGCTGCGGTGTCCTCACCCCGGCGTAGTACCAAGGCTACCCGACCCGGCGGCGGTGCGGACCTTGCAAAATAAGAAAGGATCGAAATCGCGATGGCGTTTTTCTCGCTTAAAGGCGTCAAAGTGTACAAGCATGTTGTAGAAACAAATTTGTACAGTTCCGAGCGTAGGTATTATACCCTAGTCGCTCTCACCTGTAGAGCTGCATCCGCCGCGGCAAAACGGGCAAATCTACCGTATATATGACCGTATATACGATGTGGGTGGGATAAGCACGGTGATTCGATGTCCAGCAACGGGCTGCATATAAGCTTGGTGGTGACTGGTGTAACCTGTGCGTCTTCTAGAGCTTCTTCACCGCGGACCACGAGTACACTTGTACAGTTGCTAGTCCTTCCCACGAACCACGACGTCCACAAGTGGCCGCGCCAGCACCTTGTCCCGCGGATCGCTCTCCTGCCTTCGCCTGCGTAGATCAAGTTCCTCAAATTCTTGAAGGGTGTCGCCACCTCTCGTGGCTCATCACTGCCACGTCTTTTGTCACCTAGTATGTGGGTTTTGCATAGGTCGCCTCAAGGGACTAGCCTTTGGAGATGACGTTTTCCCTCACACACTCGACCAACGTGAACCGAGTGTACACAACAAAGAAGGTCCTACATTTTTTTAGCATAGTTTTATCTATTGTAATAGACGACCCACTTCAACAACAACAACGAACCACAACGTCAAAAGACACTTCACGGTATGTCGCTATGCCCTTAAATCAAACCGGATCCGGATAAAGATACCGCTTGGCGATCTTGAAGAGCCGCGCGAATGGAAAAAAATCTCTCACCAAAAGAACATCGGCAAGCTCACTATGTTGAATACATCAATGCAGAGCATTGATGCGGCCGTTAGGCGTAGTAGTCCCTAATAATAAGGGGAGCATCCGCCCCGCGACTACACCCTGCCGCTGCAACCATACTATTAAAAATAGTAGTGTGCCACGCCCGCACCCCACTGCCTCTGATTCACTCCATACGCAAAAGCATAGATTGCGCTGGTACTCGTACTACTGGTAGTACCAATATATGTTCTCGTGATTTACAAGGGTCTATACAGGATAAATGGGCCCTGGATTAGTCGACCCTAGACGTGCAATATCCGCATTGCTATCATGTCGGTTTGCCTTGACGAGTCAACGCCAACGACGGCATGACGCGCCACGTCAACTGTGGCGCGTGACAAACACATGACACGGTGACAGCGAGCGGTTGACGCCGCCGACAAGCTCGCCGACGTCTCTCTACATTGTACTATTAGCTGCAAGCAGCACAACACTCCGCGCGCCTACAATGTGTTGACGCACTCGGCACCACGCGTAAGTCGGTGTCGGCATGATCGTTTGGATTCAGAAACCACGCAACACCACTGCGTTCTCTTCCTTCGCCGCAAAACGGGATCGGTCGATTATGCTACAAAATATGCTCGTACTCGGCCCAACTCGATGACTATTGTATGTACAGTATTGGTATGTGTTCCAGTGAGTTTCTTCTACCGGTATCGGAGCTTCGAGAACACTCGCATGCCTATACAATAAATAAATGAATATGACTCGCATTGAAGAGAAGCGAAGCATACACCCGCCTCGAGGGACAAGGCCTAGCGGCGTGTCAACACACCACGGACCGCCAACAAAGTACACCAAAATCTCCGTTTTGATTTCGGGAGTATTGCCGTGCACAGCATCAATTCTGGTCGCGGGCGCCATTATTATTTGATGCCACGTTGTAAAGCTAAACTTCAACAATGCAACACTTTGCATATGCACCGAATGTGAGATTCGATTCTTCGTCGGCGCACGTCCCTCCTATACTGGTACCACACATACCCTTGACGCTCTTGCTGCGACGCAGAGCTACTACACCTCCAGTGTGTGTGCGAACACCAGTATGTACTGTATGATGCACAAGGCAATGCGCGTGCCGATGGCGTGGCCACCCGAGCGCCAGCGCAGCGCGATCACAGCTTTGCAATTACACCGCCATATGTGTATGTCGGGAGGAGCACCATCTGTTGGTCGTGGCAGCAAATGGCGTTTACAGCCCGTGCATGACGACGACCAAGGACCTGTTGCAGTCCCGCGACCGATCTGCGGCAGCAATGGGCCTTCTTTCTGGCCACGCATCAATGCACGAGCCCAAGTCCGAGGATGACCTGTACCCCAAAAAAATGCGTCTGCTGGTATTTGGGTCGGTGGCGTTCATGTAGCAACATATCGTCGTCCTTCTTGCGAGGTGTCGGAGTTGACGCCGCAATAATGATTCGTATCTCGGACGATTCCAGCACCTACAGAGACGAATCCACTCGTAGCGTTACCACGAGGCAGCGTCTTCTCGGTACTATTGATACCAATGGACGCCGTCGGGCACCACTGGACCGCCGAGCACTGGAATAATATACACCAGGGCAAAGTCGGGCTCGATCTCGCGTTCGATGGTGTCGCAAGGCGACCTGTCTCGCACGCAAGACCCACCATTTCATGAAAATACACTGCAACGCGCCATAAGTACGCATCCGATCAAGGGGTGTTCTACACATCGCAGCGACGCATGACCTTGTCCACGCGCAAACTGGTTTCACAAACTGCACAACAAGTTAGCAGGATATTGTACCCGTAGGCAGGCCGAACCCTTTGGCTCCTGCGTTTTTTCGTCCGTCATACAACCAAGAATACAGCATCAAGTCCAGGCCTTGGAACCCAACTCGACGCCATAGCCATAGCCATAGCCACGGCAGGGCCCAGGACGGTCAAGCAGAATCACACTCGTGTAGGGTCAGTGCGCACATCTCCGTCTCGGGGTAGTACAGCACAAGCTCTACGCCGAAGTGTAAACAGCGATAGACTTCGGCGGGCAATCTGTCGTCGGCCATGGTCGGCGATAACTCCACGAACAATCTGTCCTTGTCCAGATGTGGTCGAGTCAAACCACATCTGGTAGCTCATCTGGTGCGAGCGTAGTGACTGGAATCTAACCGTTCAGTCGCTGCATTGCAATGTGTGCACGAATCATCGTTCCGCTGTCCCGTGCTTCTGCTACGACACCCTCGGCACGTATAGCGTGGACGCACCATCCATAGACAGACAAGTCTCACCCGAGCGGCAGGGGCTACTAGTATTAATAGTACCGGAACTACCAGTCGTCAGAGAATGCAAGGGCAAGGTGGTACAGCTGTATCATGCTACATCGTGGTGTCGGCCACTGATGACGCCGTGGGCATCATGTCCTGCACATCCTCGTCGTGCCGACCAGCTTTCAGCCAATCCACGCGCACCTCACGGTCGATTCCGCGCCCAGTGCCACCCAGGTGGCATCAGCTATGCGCCTGCGATACACGGGTGCCCAAGCTTCGTTTCTGAGACGACGACGGCGGAGTCATTATTCTTGAATTCGCTCGTCGCCGCACACGGCCTTCTCACGCCTTGCTCTGCGCCGAGCTGCCTGGACCGCATGAGCCAGATACCCATGCTCGCGAATAGAGATGAGCCGTCGCTCGAGTCGTACGACCTGCATATCATTTCGCAGCGCAAGTCGTCGATGACGGGGTCGATCGCCGCCGACTCGCTCTTCGCGCCCACTGTGAGCGACGGCACGGCGTTGGCCCACCAGCTGCAGCACCCAACGACGGACAACAACGCCGACGACGAAGCCGCCACCCGCCGGTCGTGGGCGCACTACTACGTCGGCGCGCCTGGCACGCTCCTCGGTGGGGCCATTGGCCTTGGGCTCGGGCTCTTTCTTGCCACGGAGTCGGTCAAGTCACAGCTCAAGCAGTACGACTACGCCGAGAAGCTCATCGTGCGCTGGGGCGCGCTCTACTTTCGCGCCGTGAGCTGTCTCTTGTCGCCGATCGTGTTTGTGAGTCTCGCCCGCGCGGTCGCCGACATTGTTGCAAGTCCGCGCATGACGCGCATGGGGTGGCGGCTCGTCGCCTACTCGTTTGGGACCACGTTATTGGCTGTCGCGCAGGCCATGGCGTGGGGCTTCTTGTTTGCCGACAAGTACGACGGCGCCGAGTACAAGTTCAAGTATTCATCGTTTTCGATCAAGTGCCCCAACACGAATGGCTTGACCCTTGGCGCACACAAGAACGGAACTTTGTACTGCGCCAACATGACGGCCAAGCAGCTCAAAGCCAACGGCTTCCCGCTCTACGACGACACCAAGCAG